GGCGACGACGCGCGGTTACACGCGACTTCGCAGATCCCGCGGAATTGTCGTGTAAGTAGCGAGTACCGGAGTAGTCGTTCCGGGGATACTTGTAAACTAGATGTATCGTTAAAAGAGACGACAACATATTGCGAAAATCATTGCGCCCACTTCAGACCTCCTTGTCCCTCGTGATAAATCTACGCAGTAAATATGTGTAATTACGCATCGTACTAAGACAAATATTAATAGAGTTAATTCAGGACCATTATGATACAAATCAAAGAACCGAGAACGTCAATTTTAGGACCGAGCAAGATGTAGGCAGTCCAATAATTTAAAGTCTCGTACACGAATTCATGTACCGTTTTCCACCTGTCCTGCGAGCCGTTACTTTTCGGACATATAACAGTTTCGTTAGGCGGAATCGTTGTCGTCGGCAAACTCACATGCTTTAAATCGATAAACGATTTTCAATTAGGTTTGAAGATGCTATCCTTAGCATTCCATACAATATCCCCCTGCCCATTCACGGGAAAACAGATCTATTAACAAGATTGGTGTAATTGAAATAGAATCGTTGAAACTACATCAACGTTAATGAACGGAAAACATCAGATAGTTGTCTTAATAATTTGGATATTTAGTTCAATGCTTAAAATTAAAATCCGTAGCAAGTACAGTTTAGCGAATTATTTGTGTTTGTGGCAGTTCGCGACGCGTCGCGTCATTTCTTCTTAACTCAACAGCATTTTTTTTCCGCGTACTAGATAGAAAAAATAATTAAAATATAAAATAAGGCTCCAATAAAAACAATATTAAAATTAAACTTAAATTAACTTGGTGTTATTTGTAACTTGGGGCAATGTGAGCCGTCACCTGAACTTAGGTGATAAAATTATATATCAGTAAGAATTACAGTAAGATATATTATAATATAAAAATTGGCAACAGTAGGATACATTACAGAACGCTTCGAAAAAAGATAATTCGAGAAACATTCTAAGTTATACGGATTGGATATTGGATAAACTGATGCTAAATACATACCATCGTATTTGAAACATCGCGATTAGCTCGCGAACAGTGCATTAGTTCCGCGGTGAAAATCGCGCGTGGAAACATCGCGGGAGTCCCAGTCGTTTAGATAGCTCGTCGATATCTCGCGAGAGCGAGCGGAAACGTTCGAAAGTGCTCGCCGGTGACGATTACCTCTCCTCTCCTTCGGCACTTCTTTTCGTCTCATCGCGCGAGTGCTCGGCCTGTTATCTACGCCGGAAGAGGAAGCGATTTGCGCGGACCACCCGGTACGTGACTTTCCTCCCCGTCCGCGCGCACGATTCGCGGCGTCCCGACGCTGAGCGGCGCGGCGCTGCGCGGCGCGGCGCGATTCCCTCGTGAATTTTTTTAATCCGCTTCGCCGGTCGCCGTGTCGCGCTGTTTTCTCCCCTCGGCATTGCGCTGCGGCGGCAGCAACGTTCGGGTTCGTTTAAAATGCAAACTCGTTCGTGGTCCACGGGGGCTTTAAAAACAGCCTCTATACCTATCTGGATTTTCGTTTGCCGTGCCGCCGCATCTTGGCCCCGCCGGGTTTTACGCGCCTCATATAGGGATTTATGGCAGCGCTGACGCGTTTCTATTCTGGACCGTCTCGTCGCGCCGAGAAACATCTTCCCCCGGACCGCGGTTCTTTCTTCAGCGTCGCGCGCCTTAATCGCGATTTTCCTTTGGCGAGCCGCTCGATTAAGAAGAGCAGTTGGTCGATATTATTTCACCTCGATTGGCAACTTTTTTAAATCGTGGATACACGTACCTTGATCCATTTTTCGCTTCAGGCTGGTCAATTTTTTTTTTATATTTCTCTTCGGCTTACATAGATTTATAACTTTCATGTGGTTTTGTTGGAAATAGCCAACTGTGAAAAATATTAGATTTCAAGGTTACATTACGGCGAGAATATAGCTTTCATATTTTGCTTTCAGTAACCTTGTTGCTACAATAGAGAAAAATTGTTGTCCGAGATTCTCTGATTATTAGCAAATTATTTATGTAGCGCAAAGTTTCTTATACCAGAAGCTCCCTTTTGTGTACGAGCGTAGAATAATATAATAAATTTGTTGTCTCGGACATTTTACATCTCGCGAGATGTCATGCGCGGTTTTTCTTGTGAAAGTCTCGTTTGTCAGATAAAAGAGGTTGTATTGCTTCCCTCAAGGTTCGTTTTTCTTAAGAACGAACGATTCTTTCGGATCTGACGTCTATATGTCGCGGCTTTTTTTCTATCCATCCTTTTTCAGTAATTGCACCTTCAGGAAGCTTTTAGCCCGTATCGCAATTGCTTGATTAGCACTTGACGATCCTGAACGTGATTTTCGCATCGCAAAAAAGGCTCGGAATCGAACGGTCACATTTAGCGTTGAGCGTTAGAGGTGAATGCGGGTCTCCCCTCGCACCTTTATCTCGAAAGAGACGCTGGCGAAAGTGAGATCAGGCTCTCGGGCTTTCCTGGTAATTTGACAGAGCGATAAAGCCAGTTCTACCGTTCCTTTGACCGGGAGGATGTTGATTTAACGAGCACTGATGCATTAGATGATCGTCTAATCATTGACGCAGATTACGTACGTTGTGAGTAAAGGTGAGGGCGAGACGCGCTTAATTAGCTTGGCCGTGTAACGCGGAGCGGCACTGAGGGCAGCTCGGATAAAGGGTTAAATTTATCCCCGATAGTTCTTTGAGCCCCTTTGGTTGGGCACTTATCGTGTGCGTGCACGCACTTCCGCGTTTTAATCCTCTGACGCGGTACTCGGTGTCTACCGCATTTAAAAGTTCTATATATAATAATAATAAAAATATAAAAGGCACGAGATAAGATAATTATCAAGAGATAATTATCATTCTTTTATATTCCAAAGATATGGAAGACTTAAACTATTTGATTTTGAGCGAAAGACGTAGTCGATGTAGAAGCTACATTTTATGCGTCGACATTTCGTGTCCATTCGACTAGTCTTACGTACCGCACGACTGTTTCCGCGAGAAACGTCGCATTATTCGCCAATGAAACAATTTCCCGTTTAACTCTGACTAAACGAACTTTTGAATAAACGTTCGCACTCGTATTCGTACACTCGAGAATATCTACGATGATTGGTCTTCTGTTAATCTCGAGGGGGAAACCGCTGACCAAAATCTTGTACACCAATGCCCACTAATGCCCAGTGGGCATTACTTTATCTTATTATCTTATTTTATCTTGTTTTATGTCATTTTATCTGATTTTATCTTAGTTTATCTTTATAATGCCCCAGCAAGGCCTAATGCCCAATAAAATGCCTAGTAATGCCCAGTAATTCCGCAAATCTGTACACCACAACGCCCTCAGCGGTTTCCCCCTCGATTAATCTATTTTCATTCTGTCTTTATCGAGGCACAGAATTTGGGACGATTAAATAAAGTGTTCCCCCGAGACAATCGAAATTCGTTCCAATTGCGTATTAGCTTCGTTAATATCGTGCTTATTTTAAGAGACAATTTGAGAGCTGCGAGTATTAATTCGTGTACGAGGGTGATTTTTCCTTCGAAGGACAACGCCGGTTTACGAATGTGATCGGATAGGCGTCGCTATTGTTATCCCGCTTGACCACAGCCACTTAAGCCCGTGCGCTAAACTCCACGAGTTCAACTTTACCCTTCAACAGGTGTTTAGGGAAATACAATAATGTCGCGCATGCGCGCCGAACTTCTTGAGGTCGCAAAGTTCGCTGGAACAATCTGACCGCGACCATGCCCGCGGGCGATGCCGGTACTTAGGACGAGATTAATTAAGATTACGCAGGACGCGCCGCGGTTCTCAACCCCGGCCCGGGACAAGTAAATTTCGCGCGGTTGATGAGGAATTCCGTTAATGCATGCGAGATGGGAAACGACGAGGCTTGATTAGCAAGATGCGTTGTAAAATTAGGTCCAAGATCTACTTGTCTTAATCAGCCTGAGCGAAATCTCAATTCTGGGGAATGCATTTCATTTGTTGTAAAAAAGTATTATTGAATAGCGTTTCACAATACCGTGTATGTATTTATCGATTTTATAGTAAGGAGCAAACTGTCGAGAAAAATTTTTCTTCGCAAACACAAATAGCTAAGATACGGAATTACAGGTTTTTCATGACATAACGTAAACAAATCATATTGACTTAATACAATACAACTGATCTCATTTTCATGCAGTTTTTCTATAATTTCAGAATTAAAAATTGCGATTACAATTCGAAGTTTTTTTTAACTGACGAAACAAATGAAGTCTATTTTATCAATAGCAGATAACATTATCAGCGAAAATTACCGACTACTGGCTTGCCGGTTGTCGGTAAAGTAGACTGTCGGGGTTCACGTCGGTAACAGGTGGTGAACTAAACATGTTTGCCGATTGAGAAAGCTGAAGCGAAGTTTCAAGTTACTTTTTAGACAATAGATGGCGTTTAAATATAGTATAGTTCTTGAAAAGCTTTATACAAAAACAATATTGTATATATTAAAATAAACTGAAGTCAAGAGCTTTGTAAAGTAATAAATTGTCTGTATTAGTCAACTATTTAAAGAATATGAAGATATGTATCGGTTATGTATTAAGTTATCTTTATACATATGTGCATAAAGATACATAACGTAGTGTGCAGCGCGTGATTAGTTTCTTATCTTGTCTGTATGGATGTCGTTGACGGACAGATGACTTTGGGGCGAATAATATCTACAAAAGACGACATTTTTCAACGTTTACATGACAGCTGTTAATGTATATGTTGTCTATATTGTGTAAAACGTTGTGTAAAACTTTTTATTAAATCGTATTGAATCGTTTGTCGCATTCGCTTTCTTTAAGATTGTAAGACAATGGAAATGACGAAACATAAAATCATATTCTACTCTTCTTATTTATTGTCGGTAATAAAACAACATTTTCTTGCACATAACGATGAGTTAAACAGGCTTCTCACTATTTCTTCTATTTAACTCTGTTCACAGACATTAAATGGTGCCGAAGGTACAGTCCCACCTGGAAGAGTGTACAAGAAAGTCGCGATTGTGGAGAACTTTTTTGACATCATTCACGCCGTTCACGTTGATCTCGAAGGACGTCCTGGGAAGCATGCCGGCCAGAAACGCACCTACAGAACGGTAAGTCGCGGCTGTAATTTTAAGATGTAATTTAAGAAACAATTTATATATTTTTAGTTACGCCAATATTCGTTGGAAACATATACATTTAACATCTAATAAAGCGTACATTTTGTTTTATCGATACTGAAATTTAACGTACGCTTCTGCAACTAAAAACATAAATTGCCTTGCCTTCAATTGTCACGGCATAACCGTTCAACTCCGCGTGTACGAGTAAACAATGTCCCTCAGCATCCGACTCTTTGGTTCAAGGTGCGGCACTAACCGAGTCGAGTATCCGTCGATCCGCGAAGCGCGATCGAATTCTGAATTCGGGCGCTATCGGCAAAACGGTGAATTCCTGCATGGTTGCCCGCGACACGCGATATTTACCGTTCCCGAAGGAAGGCATCGAGGCGTTCAAGCGTCGAACACTCGATACCACACGTCATCTCACATGTTCCGGCGCGCATTCGCGTAAACCTCTCTCCTGGGTATCATATCTGTTCTCTCTCTCTCCCCCCTCTCTATCTCCCCCTCTCTCTTTCTATCTCGCACCCTCAGCACGGTCTCTTTCTACCCTTCATCGTCAGTCCCTGCGACCACCCTCCCACTCTTCGGCCTCCCATCCTCTCTCTCTCTCTCTCTCTCTCGCACGCCGCGATCTGCTTGTGATTCAAAACCTCAGGACACTTGTTGCATTGCCTGCTTACTCACACACTCGAGCGTTTGCGCGACGGTGGAACTGTTTTACGTTCAAGTCGGCGTTAGGCGGCGGGATTCATCGGCTCCAGAGAGGAGAGCCCGCGTTATGTCACGGTGCCGCGTTGCGCAACGCGATACCACCACCACGCACCGTGTCAGGGTTGGTGGATTTCGAGTTGACGCTGTTACATCGCCAAGGGTCGCAGAATTGACCGATCCGGCACAATTCGCCTTTGACGAGTCGTACCTTTAACGCGCGTCCGATCGGCATATTATGCGTTAGAGCGCGTAGCGCGCACAATTTGCCGTTTCAAGCTAATCGCAAGTTAATTTCCCCATAATCGAAACTTCGCCAAGAACTCCGCTGAAAGCCGTGCAGTTGCGACTGTATTCAGAAATCATTCGTATCAATCTTACATGTACTGTGAAATTTCTTATATTTAAAAAAGTAAAGAATAAAGGAAACGTAAGACCCTATTATGTCTTACAGGAAGCTAACAATAAGTAGACTTTGTTTACTTAATCTACAACTATCCATCGTTTCGTTATATTGTATTTAAATATATTATCCAGAATTCGGATATTTGTTTGATCAGCAGCCATCGTTCCTTCAGTAACGTCACATATTATTATCGTCGGGGAAATATATTCTAGTCCAATTATTAGCCAATAATTTATTTCCGTGTTCCAATTACTCTGACGCAATCCATTGTGCTTTTACAAATCCGAACTGAAATATTGACGAATTGTAACACAGCGGTTCAAGATACAAGGTGCATTGTCTCGGGTTTTCACCTGAGAAACGCATCTTTTTTTCGCTCCACGTTCCCTCTCAGTTCGTTGCGAGGGGTTTCGGGTAAATCTTATCGAATTATTACCCCCTTCTCCCACGGAACTGGCGCAGTTATATGCACACGTACACAGCAACCTGTGTCGGCTTTCTCGGGCTCTCACGGAGGCTGCCATCCTCCTTGATTAAGTTATGCCGCCCCCCTCCGCTTCCTTAGAGAGAAACGTTTCCTATTAAGGGGCGGGGAACATCCCTCCGGCTGAACACCTCCTCTCGCAGAAGACATCAAAGTTCCGTTATACTGCTCATGAATTTTCCCCAGTGGGCGTCGCGCGTAAAACGACGCCACGTGACAGCGATACGTTCGCCCGGAGAGCGGGAAGGACCATTCGCACGTATATTAACGTGTCGATTGACAATGGTAGTTGCGTATTATTACTGCACGAACGTGCACTCGGATGCGGCGCCTCGGCCGGGTGGAATTGCTTAATTGTCCGACCGAACGGTGTTTCTGCCTGAATGTGTACGTCGTGGCGCAACGTAGGAGACGAGGCGAAAGATCTGATCGATTCATCCTATCTCGATAGATCTTCGCCGATATCTCCATCGCGTTCTTAAAATGGAGTTCAGCATTAACAACTTACTCCAGCTGTATTATCACCTACTGTTATCATAAAACACGCGCCGCGGGAAACTCTTTTTGCAGGAGAAAGGGACTTTGCTGACTTAATCTATGAGAATTGTATTAGTAATAGAAATTGGGCATGTTTTTATCTCGTTCCGAAGATAATTCAATTTCTCTCGCGATAAAATTAAATGGCAGAAGGATAGAAAAAAATATTGAAGATTGAAGTGTGAACTGTTCTAAAGAGAGCGGTCCTCTCTCCCTCTTTCTCTGTTACAGATTACAGAGACATACGCGTTCCTACCCCGAGAAGCGGTAACGCGATTTTTGCTGGGTTGCACGGAATGCCAACGGCGCCCGCGGACACCTAGTCCGACGAACTTGTCTAATCAGTCGCAGTCGACGCAGTCAGCGGCGCTGGGGCCGACGTCAACTCCGTTGAGCCCGAATCCCGGTAGCACCGCCCTCGCGACCTCGTCGTCGTCGACGACGACGTCTTCGTCGGTGCAAAGTAGCTCTAAGCCGCGCAACGGCGGCCAACACGCGTCGTCGGAGGGCAAGAACTTGCACAACTACAGGCACCAAAAACAGCACAAGACCGGCGGTAGTAGCGCCGCTGCAGACTCGAAACTCGACAAAGACAAAGACGAGAAGTACAATCCGCTGAGTATCACGAACCTATTGAAGAAGGAGCCGGTGAATGGTGGTTATCTCGCGAGTTCGGACACTTTGCCGGAATCGAGGAGAACGCCGGAGTCGGACCGGGCGAGCTCGAAGAGCTCGGCGTCGTCAAAGAGAAAACGGATGCTGCCGGAGGGACGGACACCCTCGCCGCAGCCCAGCCAGCCGTTGCCGAGGCCCTGGAGTCCTGGACTGGATCCCAAGAACACGGTCATTGACTACAGCTTACCGATCACCACCTCGTACCTGAAGCATCAGCAGAGATTGCTCCAGGAGAAGAACAAGGCAGCCGCCGCTAACGCGTTGAGGGAGTCCGAAACAACGGAGTCGAAAGTTGTTTCAACCGTCGCGATGCCGCTCGTCGAGGAAACCGAGAGCGCCGAGAGGGAGAGGTTCTCACCGGCCACCGGGCTGATCGACACGAACCTTAATCTCCTGGCGACCATCCAACATCTGCATTGTCAAGTGATGCTGGCGCTTACTGAGCGACTCAGACCGTCGTTCACGGTGCCGAGCCCTTTAGTTCTACCACCGACATCGCCCAATGTTCTGGCGGGGACGATGATGATGGGCACGGAAGTATCGGTCCAGACGGGAGAGAATCATTCGTGAATTAATCGGTACGAGAAGAAGAGAGTGGAACTGATTTTCGCAGTGACTTTCCTCGGAGGTGGGTAAAAAGCAATGATTATCAAGAAGCGAAAAATCAGTATTTCCACGAGCAGAATCAATGAATTGTTCGCGTCGCGATAATACTGCCCCGGGAGTCTCGTGTATATCGAGACGATAATTCGTTCTAGACAAACGTCCGCGGTAAAACGATTAAGCCGGTCAGACAACGGAAGTCTGTACTCACCGAAAAGACACGCGTTAAAATTCGACCGCCCTATTTGCGTTTCTATCATAGCCCACGCGGTTACACGCGGCTCCGCGCGCAAAATGTCGATCGCGGTCGCTCTTCATCTTTAATTCGTTCCTAAATACGTATCCGTTTGACGCGATTGCGAATACAGCGACGGCTACTCGTCGTCGTCGTTTTCCCGTCTTTGGTCGAGAAGCGAAGCGACAGATAAACGCAATTACATATTGAACCGGACGGGATCGATTATTGTCGTCGTGCTCGTGTCACACATTTCATCCGATCGGGCCGACCGGCCTGACGCTTACTTGCGTCCGACGACGGCGCCCGATATAGATGACGGGCCAAGCGAGCGGAATAATTCCCCAAGTCTGTCGAAATACGGGTCGATGTGTCAGAGATTCGCGCGGCGCTTTCTATGTCCGATATTTAGAGATCCGTTACGCGGAGAGCGGATCGCGATCCGACCGCCGCCGGACCCGGCTCCGCGAATCGATCCATCCAGGCGGGGCAGAAACGACAGTCCGCGCGGCGACACCGCGAAGGTCCTGAATATTCAACGAGCCAGCGCGAGATAGGGAGAGAGAGTCGGAGGGGAAAAAGAGAGAGGGATGGAGAAGGAGATCCGATTTCTCGTTTTCGGGTGTTATCCGATGAATCCGACAACATTCGGCGTCGTTGTCGACCCGACGAATTATCTTTCATCTTTTAAGGTGCGCGGGGATTCGCCCCCGACTAATCGGAATGTGATGCAAAATGGACGACTGATGCTCCGTACGAATGATGAACTCTTAAAATTTTGCGGCTCGTTTCCCCGCAACGGGAATATCCCGGCGCTAATAATTTCTGTGTTGTAAATCATAAAGGCACATTGCGCGGTGCGGTAAATAAGTGATGTAACATTGCCTGTCGATACCGTTTAATCTTTCAAAGGCCGAACTTTTTTTAACAGAATTTTATTTAAGCTTCGTTGGAAGATAAACATTTTTCCACGGGGAACATGCTTATCGAGGGATAAAGAAAATTTTCGAGCGCGTCGCGTCGTGTAATTTTGTGAACGATGTAATGCAATCTCGGGCGATCTGAATTATCGGTTAATGCGCGATCGGGTAGCATCTCATTGACGGGGAAAGGACCGGTTGCATCTAGCCTGCATCTCGCTCTACCTTGTAATTGTAATAATGTTATCGCGTGTAATTACACAATGGGAGAGTATTCGAGACGAGCCTGAGCGCGCGATTCGTCTCATCTCGTCTTGTCGCGTTTCGTCGAACCGGTCGAGATGCAGTATTATCCGCGGGCCGCAAACTTCTCTTACGTTGTACTAATTATCGTATTATTGCCATTATCAACGCGGCTTTTTAACGATACCGCGTCGCGTCCGCCTGATTGGACACGCTATTTCAGACGCAGAAGTGAATTCGTATTTCATCCCGATTTTGAATTAAAAAAATGAACATTATATTGGTATAATTTTCACGTTATCATTTTGCTTTTAGAATGGCAACAGTTGAATAAATGTGTATTAACTCGACATTAGTTTAACGTGCGATCAAAATTTACTCGAAATAATCCAAGTCAAACGCTTGGTTCCTTTTGTTTCATAAAAATTACTTGCAAGTGATTTACACATACCCTCGTGAAATAACTTGTTCACTTGGCGATCGCCGGATCCGATATTGATTATATACCAAAGGCAGCATCACTTCGAGCTCTCGCTTTGAGAGCGGCTCCCGTCTCCGTAGAGCAAACCGCAGGTAAGACGAATCGGTTGCAGTTAGAAATCGATTGTTTCTCGTATCGAGACCACGGCGACGGTCCTCGGGCGGCGAAACCCGTTTCGTGTCTGATTGTGTACGTAGCCTAGCCACCTCCCCCGTGTATGATATTACTCGAAGTAGCTCGTCTTTCGCGTACGATATATAGCGCGTCGTTAGCTGGCGAGGGGAAACGTGCGGTACACCGGTAAAATAGGCCTTAAGGTGTGCTTGCAAAAAAAAAGTGTTTGTACTAGAAGTTCGATAATTGTCGTGAAAGTAGACGAGTGTTAAGAACCCTTGAGAGTGTCGTCGCAGCGGACATATTATATTATACATATATACATGTGTGTGTATATATTATTTTGTACATAATCGTTGTATGATAGTGCGTATAGTCTACCAAGTAAGACCGCGCGACTATATTATTACCGATGGCGATCATTCTCTTATCACACGGTATTATGTACCGTTGTCATTATTATTATTGTAATAATCATGGATGTGACTACTATTTTTACTACCACAGTTCTTATTGCTCTCTTTACCATTATTTTAGTATAATTATTATTAATTACTATCACACATGAGTATTGTATTACTGTATTAATATTATTATATTTAAATTGTGCGCGCGGAACAGACGGGAAAATATATGAAATTGAAATACTCGAGAATATTGCATATGTAACTTACACCGTAACCAAAAAGGTGCATTCTTCTCTGTCTTCCTCTGATGTGTGTTTCAATTTTCATGAATTCCCCTTCCTGGTTCTTTACTTTTCTGACACTGCCTCATAATTAGTATTATCGGTCAAATTGCCTGGACGCACTGTTCTAAGAAAGGAAAGGAAAGAAAAGGAACACGCAAGGCATTGACGATTGTTCATTTCTGACAGCATTGTATCTTGTCGTAACGCCGCGACAACACGTCGCATATAATCGCGGGATATTCCGTACAAGGTATAATAAATATATTATATAGGCTATGAGGAAAGACTGCAGAGGGTGTTCAACTACGTCTCGTCCCACTGCGACTACCGTACTACATGAATGTAAGTACCAAGTTTATTTATGTACAGTCGGCATAGTTTGAAATGCCCGAAAAGCTTCGATCGATCGATCGATGGATATGTACGATACAGCGAAGATAAATGGTCGATCTTGAACTCCACGTGCGCACAACAAACGCAATTGACACCTCACCCCTTCTCCCCCTTCCTTTTCCACCTCCAGCCCTGGTAGTAGATAGAACCAGTCGCTTCGGCGTCTGACGTACTTTAATATCGCGAACAAAGAGGACGAAATGATCGTGTTGCCTTTAACAAAGGAGAAGGAAGGCAGCGTCGACGACTCACCTGCTCTCTCCCTCTCTCCCCCCCCCTCTCTCTCACACATCTCTCTCTCTCTCTCTCTCTCTCTCTCTCTCTCTCT